TTAAAAAATGTAAACTAGCTAGCTAAAGTTTATTTTAACAGAAACAAAATCTTTCTAAGATACACATATTGTTGATTTACAACAAAATTATAACTTACACAAGTATGAACATGTATATGTATAGACATGTATATACATTAATGACTATTCCTCCAAATAATTCCTAATCATTAAGCAGTTAGCTATGAAGGAGGGAGGCATCAAAGGAGATAGTTCCCAGTTTATGGAGGCGGAAACTGGGTCTGTGAGTTGGGAATCCCATGTCTCTGGCGTGAGTCAGGAAAATCCGGTCTGTGGGCCAGGCTAATCCTTCACCCAGGTCTCTGCAGCACAGGGACCATGTGTGCACTCTGTAGGGAGGAGTTGGCAGTGAAAGAAATACTCAGTATTGACAAGGTCTGCCTCCTCCAGGAAGTCTACTTGGGCCTCCATTGTCTCTCCAGACTATGTCCACACTTGTGTTAGTTTGCTCAGGCTGTCAGGCCAGGTGCCACCAGTGGGGGTGCTGAACCGATTGAACTTTGTTTCCCTGGACACTGAAAGTTCAGGCCCAAGTTGCTGGTGGAGGGGCGTGGGGAAAGAGATTCCCTTCTGAGGCCTCTCTTCTTGCCTGCCTAACCCACCTTCTCCTTAAGGGTATGGGAGTGGGGGCTCATTTCCTCTTCCAACAAGGCCACACAAGTCATCTTGGATTAGGGACACCCAAATAACCTGAACCTAATGGCCCCTGAATTGCTCTCTCCAAATGTGACCACATTCTGAGGTGCTAGAACTATGATTCTAGGGCTAAGTCAGTGAAGACACAATTAAACCACCCAGCACCCACTCTCTATAAGGCCCAGGGCAGGGCATGCTGGGAACCATGAATTAGGGTGGGATGAGAAGTCTGAACCTGGGCAGTTCTGTGTGGAGTGCCACCAGCCCCCACCACCCCTGTGCCATGAGGTGGGAAGCAGGACGTCATCACCCATACACTTCCTTCCCTGCAGTCAGTGCAGTGGCCTCTCCCCCGCCCCCAGGTTGACCTTTTTTTCTTGCCCCACTGGGCTTCAGACCTTTGGGGTCAAAGGTGCAGAACAAACATCTCTCACCATCTGCCTCACCCGCAGACTTCAGTTACCTCCCATAAAGTCTTGCTGTTATTTCTATTATTCCAGAAACCTCAGTGTCTGTTTTGCCTCCCAACCCCACTTCTACAGCTGTTCCTGATAGTCCCAACTCCTCAAAGCTTCCCAATAGCCTGGTATCTGCCAGACTCAGTGTCACAATGGACCCCAGCCCTGACCCATGCCAGCTTGGTACCTGCTACCCCAGGGGTCCTCTGTCCCTTGGCCCCACTGTCACCATACCCCACTGTTCCTTGGTTCCACTGTCCCTGGGACCCCAGACTTCTCCAGACCTGTGTCTAGAGTTTCTGCAAGGCTGTCCCCAGTGCTCAACACCTCCCCAACACACACACCATATATACACTTCCGAGTCCATAGTCACCGTGCCCTGATTCCTCAGGAACCTGGTGATTCTTCCCACTGCACCACACACACACTGCCCAGCTTCCAGTCAACCCCAGAGTTCCTGTTTGCTCCATACCCCGCAGCTTCGTAGTGAGCAGGGATCTGTCTTACTCCATCCTCTCTGCACCCTGGACAGTGGGATGATCTGCCTGAAGCCCGGCCTGGACTAGTGGCTGGTGAAATGCCCGTGAGGGAATTGTTCCAATGGGATTTCTTACAAATGTGGGTTTTGCCTCTCATCAGCCCTCATAAGCGAGCACCTAGGTCACTGCTGAGCACTGTTGGAGCCAAACCTCACACATACTCCTATAGCCTTGCATCCTCACAACGCCCCTGCTCACTGGTCTTCTCCTTGTCCTCCTTCCCACCTAAGAAAGGGGCAAGCAGAGGGAAAGTCAGGACTCAGCACGGTCTGCCTGAGACCTCTTGCCCCCAACCCGCCTCTGCTGCCTTTGCCGGAGGAAGGACAGTGGGGGCCGGGCCAGACAGAAAACAGAGCAAGAGCCATGAGCTGTCTCCCAGTGTGTCTAGGCTATTTTGAAAGTGATCCTGCAATGACAAGTTTAAACTTGGGTTCTTCTAAATGAGCTGAGAGGTCAAATTGGAAATCCCCATTTGAGTGGCCAACACTAATATCATTTAGAAATCAGAGTCTCAGGCTAGAGGTGTGTGGGGTGAATTGTTTGCTCTGCCCCTTTGTTTTGACCAAAAACTTGAGACTTTCCTGCTGGAGGAGTGAAATGAGTGTGCTAGAAACATTTATGATCAGTTACCATAATGGTGGTGATCATTCTCCCTACAGTCACTACAGTAATCGTGGCTTCCTCCCTGCACCCTTCTTTCTGAGGCTAACCCTCAGGTTCAGAGAGGCACTAACACTAGCACTATCCTCCCGTTGTTCATCGATTTGCTCGAGCGGGCACCAGTAATGTCTCCATTGTGATACTTATTGTTATTGTGTTTGGCATATGGAATACGTCATGGGTAGCTTGCCAGGCTTTGCCAAGCAGGCAAGATACTCTCGGTAGCTTGCCGGGCTCTCCAAGACGGGCAGAGGAATCAAACTCGGGTTAGCCAAGTTGGCCATGTGCAAGGGAAACGCCTTACCCGCTGTGCTATCACTCCAGCCCTCAGCGAGGCAAAGTGCCTTAATCAAGGCAAGGCTGTTACTAAGCTAGAATTCAAAACTGGATCTAGCTAATATCAAGACTTAAGTTCTCTTTCTGCTACCCAGGTTCAGTTTATAATCTTAAAAGAACGACACTAATCATTTTGAAAATCATCCATATATTGGGGTTTGGGAGGATGTTGCACCACTTCCAGTATGTGCTACAGGGCTGCTCCTGGTTCTGTGCTCAAAGGGTTGCTCCTGTGGTGATTGGGACGGAAAGGGAGTGAGTCTGTTTTTAGCATTGGCCCTATTACAATGGTGGTCAGCAATTAGGCAATGGTTAGCAACAGTTTCTAAGGAGGGTACAAGGACCCCTAGGACTAGCAACAACCAACTGCCCTATTCATTATCTAGGCATATTACTCAACTGGGAGTCTATCAGAAACTGCAAGTCCTGCTCTGGGGAAACAGAAACTGAGGCCTAGCTGAGACTTAATGTTAGCTGCAGCTTGTCATGGCCACTGAGGAGCCTGCTTTGGGGCCTCACACCATATAATGGAGTAGGAGGCTCCTTGAAAATCTCACTGCAGACAATATTTAATAACCTGGAAAACTATTCAGGCTACATCAGTAAATGAAAGGACAAAGTGCTGTAAAATATTGTCTGTAGTGTTTTCTCTAATTTGGTCAAGGAAAGGCTCAGAAATATATGTGTCACACTAGAGTTAGAAGGACATGCTATTGGTGGCTATCACCCAGGTGGCCATCAGCTTATAATAGCTAATGGAAAGGTGCCCCTATACTGTACTGGAGTATGACTCAGTGACAATGTGAATGTTTATGATGACATTGTACTCGGGAAGATATGTCAAAGAAAGGCAGGTACTGTATCACGATAATCACACATTGATAATGATATCACTTACATATGTCAACTAAAAAAGGCCAAACTCATCAAAACAGAAGGTAAAATTGTGGATACCAAGAAAGGAGTAGGACGTGTATTGTTCAAGGGAACAAACCTGCAGTAAATTAACAAATAAGTCCCAGAGATCTCATCCATAGTGTAGTGAATACACACAAGAATATTCTATTATAATCATCAACTTAGCATAAGGGACTAATTATTCTAACCACTAAAAAGAAAATGGTAGTTACACAATTATATTACTAATATGATATAATGATAAATATAATTTGGAGGTACTAAATGATCACTAATTAGAGGCATATCACAATATATAAATATATCAAATCAATCACTTGTATTTTTAAACTTACGCGACTGGAGTGATAGCACAGCAGGTAAGGCATTTGCCTTGCATGCAGCCAACATGGCCAACCTGAGTTTGATTCCTCCGCCCCTCTCGGAGAGCCCGGCAAGCTACCGAGAGTATCTCGCCCCCATGGCAAAGCCTGGCAAGCTACCCCTGACGCATTCGATATGCCAAACACAGTAACAACAAGTCTCATGATGGAGATGTTACTGGGCCCGCTCGAGCAAATCGATGAATAACGGGAGGACTGTGACCAGACCGTGATTGTGAAACTTACACGGTGTTGTAAGTCAGATATATTTTAATTAAAAATTATTTTTGAGAGAGCCTAAGCAATAGTGCAGCAGGCAGGCATTTACCTTGCATGCGCTGAGCTGGGGTTTGATCTCTGGCTTTCCATATGGTCCCTTGCCCCCTACCAGGAGTGGTCCTAAGCAGAGCCAGGACTAACCCCTGAGTACCCATCAGTATGGCACGAAAACAGACCAAAAAATAAAAACATCACTTCTGTATATTTGCAGGGGGCACACCCACTGGTTCTCAGAGGTTGGGGGACTGATGGTGCTTGAGGGAACCATGCAGTGCTTGGGGTCCAACCCAGGGACCCTTCTTGCAAAGCTTACACTCCACCTTGCTGAGTTCTCCCTTTGGCTCCCCAATTAAAATTTTAGAGGTGTGGGTGGGGGGTGATGGGAGGGAACCAGGGGACACTGATACTAGGAAATGTACATTGGTGGATGGATGGGTGTTAGAATACTGTATGACTAAAATCCAATCATGAACAGCTTTGTAAGGGTCTATCTCACAGTGATTCAATAAAAAAGCTTTAAAATTTTTTTGGAGATGCTTGATGGATTCACAGAGGATTTAAATTTCCTTTCTGTTATTTATGCTTTTGAAATCTTTTTCTGCTGAATGTGCAATCAAAAAGTAGGGAAATAAATAAAATTCCCCAGTACCAAAAAAGAGGAAATAAATGCAATGAGAATAGTCTGGCCCCAGTTGGAGCTCCGAGGAACAGGGTGGGATTTGACTGGGGGAAGGACATCTGATATAAGGGTTCTTGTCCCAACGGGAACTTCCAGCAGCTGCTGGCATCACTCTTGCTGGGATCATGGAACTCGCCCTGCTGTGTGCGCTGGTGGTGTTGGCTGGTGAGTGGGGACAACCTTTCGCAGGGAAGGGACAGAAGGGGATGTGCGGGGAGAACACAGGTAGGCCCTTTAGCTCTTTCTAAAGACTGAGCTCTGCTCTGGTCCCCAGCTCCCTGGGTCCTCAGAGCCCCCTCCACTCCTGCAAGAAGCCACCAGCAGCTGCCACTCACTAGAATAGAAGCTTTGGCCAGGGAGTGTGATGGCCACACAGGGAGCCAGTCTCTCCTCTGCTGGGAACCTGGGAAAGTCAAGTACAAGGACCAGAGAGATAGCACTGCGGGTCAGGCGCTTGTCTTGCATGTGACTGACCCGGGTTTGATCCCTGGCACTCTATGTGGTCCCCCAAGAACCACCAGGAATCATCCCTAAACATAGAACCAGGATTAAGTCCTATGCACTGCCTGGTATGGTCTCCAAACCAAAAAAAAAAAAAAAAAAAAAAAAAGTAAGTCATGTACTGCAAACATGACATCTTCGACACACAACCCATAAGAATGCATCTTCCTTACTTTGAACCTATTATGTGTCCCTTTGATCAGTAATAACAACCTTTGGTCATGCATTTGATATTTCTAGAATCTTTTCATATTCATCATCTCCTCCATTTGGGGAGATAGTCTGTTGATAGGTGAGGAATGAAACTGTTTCTGTTTGATCGTTAGCAGGTCACATGTGAAACTATCATTGCTAGCAAACTGGTACCTTTTTCTGTTTGTTTATTTGGCCCATCTCAAACCCCGTGATTTTAGGAAAAATTTGCATTTTTTGAACATGGTTTTAAGTGAGCCGGGAGTTCCAAAAACCATCAGGAAAAGCTCAAATTCTAGCTACAGAAGTTCACTCCTAATAAAGAGCAACCATGGCATAAAGATAAAATACACAGGTTTGCATCTCCTCCTCACCTCTGTCCTGGTGGTCTGACCTTGGCCAGATCACACCAGCAACCCTATATCCTTGCGTGTGAAACAAGCATGGTGGCCCCCTCCTCCCAGGGCTGTGAGGTCTCTAAGGATCAGATACATCAAGTTTTATAGGTATAAGTGAGAGCAAAGAAGCAATCGCTTAAAGCACAGTGGTAGCAGGAGGAAGTACTGTTTTCCTTCACCAAAGTGTCCATGCCTTGGGCTGTGTCCCCACCCTACCCTCTGCCAGCACACCCCAGTGGTATCATGTCAAACCCTACAATCACAGACTGAATTCCTAGTTTCTCAGGACTTGATGGTGAAGTCCTGAACCTGTTTCTGCACAAGTGGAGAGGCAGAGCTGTTCCACTCAGCGGACCTTGGCGGGAGGATTTCTTTTCTTTTCTTTCTTTGATTCTTTGGTTTTGGGGCCACATTCGGGGTGGTTTTCAGGGCTTATTTCTGGATTTGTGCTCACAGATGACTCCTGATGGAACTCATAGGGCCATTGATGGTACAGAAATTGCACCCAGATTGGCCATTTTCAAGAAAAGCATTGTCTCTAGCCCTTGGTGGGAGTATTTCTGAACTGAAATGGACCTTGGGATGGACCCGGGGATGAAATGCCAAAGAGGTCAGCTTCTTGGTTGGCCAGCAGAGAGGTTTGTGAGTGGGCACCAGAACTGGTCTCTAAGGAGCAAATCTATCAAGAAGATGAGCTGAGAGGATGAACATACTGGGACACAACAGACATTAACTGGGGGCTGAGGGTGGCTCCCTGCATTGCTGGGTCCAGACCTGCACCCAGCAACGAAAGGAGATTGGGTGAGGGGTCTTTGAGGATTAACTCTATGACCTTTGCAACTTTCTGTACATCAACCATATATGTTCCCCCAAAGTTAATTCATTGAAAAATAAACTTCATCTCACAGGAGGAAGGGAGTTGTTTATGAAACAGTCACTTTGAACATTAACAACAACATGGGGTGAGAGAGAGAGAGAGAGAGAGAGAGAGAGAGAGAGAGAGAGAGAGCAAGAGACGAAACAAGAGAGAAGAGAGAAAGAGAAGAGAAAGTGCGTGTTAGAGCTCAATGGGGTGAGTATATAGTTTACATACAGGAGGCAGAAATTTGAAATCAGGTACTGAATGATCCCTTGAGCACTGCCAAAATTGACCCCCAAGCACTGTAACAAGAGTAAACCTCAAACACCACTGAGTATGGCCCAAAATTAAAAAAATATTTATGTCTATGTATACATATATACATATATAGTAAGAACTCACTAAATATTATATGTATTTGGGGGATCCTCCTAAGCAGTGCTTGGGTGCCTGGGGAACACTAACAGGGATACTTGGTCTATTTTGGCTGGTAGCTCAATGCTACAATGAGGGAGTTTGAAGCTTCTCAGACCCTGCAGTCCCAGGGATTCCCCTGGAACCACGCCAGGTGGTGCTTAGGGCCATGAGATGCCAGGGTTGGAACTTGGATTCTGACCACTGTGCCATCTCCCTGGCCCCTGACAGCTGATGTTCCACCGTCACCATGGTTGCCTCCACTTTGTTATCCAAGGTCTGCAGCTTGGTACAGGCAGAGTCCAGGCGCCAGACCTGTGTCTAGCTGACCCCCTGACATTCACGAGCAATTTGTTGTTGGGCTCCTTGGCAGGTGTGAATCCTACCCAGGGCAGCATCCTGAACCTGAACAAGATGATACACCAAATGACCAGGAAGGTTCCCATCTTCTCCTATTGGCCCTACGGCTGTTACTGTGGACCCGGCGGCAGAGGTCAACCCAAAGACGCCTCGGACTGGTACCTCAACTCCCTGACAGGTCCAAGTAGGGCAGCCTTATCCCAACCCCATTGGGGATCTGCCACTTCCTCTCCCCTCTCATCTCCTTCCTTTTAGTCTTTCTGGGAATTTAGGTTAGACAGTGTGCTGGGAAGTTGTTTGCACGTGCACACAGCCCAGCCCTCCCAACCTCCAGTCTAGTTTGACACCCATACACACTCCATGTTGTGGCACATTGTTGAAAGCAATTGCCCTTCGCTCTTCTGTGATCCCATGGGGCTTCACAATAGCCTTCAGGCTTGGTCAGAGGAAGATGAGCAGCCAAGGTAACTCCCCTGACCCCCTTATAGGTTGTGTGGCTGTGGGCAAGTAGATTGACCTGAGTCTTCTGTCCTCGTCTGTGAAGTGGGGACAACCCTAGTACTTCCACCCTAGGGGGAAAATGAGAATGAAGAGAGAATTCTAGATATGGTAGGTCTGCCTTGGTGCATGGGTGGTCCTTAGTAAGTATTAGCTAGCAGGACTACAGAGAAACACAGCACCCTACAGGCTTAACTGTTCCAAAGTGAGTAAATGGGTTTTTCTGCTGAGGCTGACCCAATGGCCAAGGACCCCTGCAGCTGTTCTTGCTTCCTGCCTCACCTGCTGTTTCCTTCCTTCAGGTGCTGCAAAGCCCACGACTGCTGCTACGCCCATCTGAGACACCACAAATGCCAAATCTTCACAGATAATTACAAGTACAACATTTCCCAGGGAACCATCAATTGCTGTAAGTGCCTGGGCCTTGGGAAGGAAGGTGGAGGGCAGGGGGGAATTCTGGTACTCACTGCCTTCAAATGTTGTGTGAAAATACACAAGCTACTCAACATCTCTGTTTTTCCCAGTGTTAGCAGCTGGGCTGTGAAGGAGTGGCAGAGTGGTGATGAGGGTATGGAGAGGTACAATGGGAGCAGGGGGTTCTTTTAGGATCTGGAAGGCTGACGGAACTTGGAAGCCTGATGGATCCCAAAGGAACCACTGACTAGCTGGGTGACTTTGAATATATTTCTTAATCTCTCTGAGCCTCACAACACCCGCCCTCCCGGTAAACTTAGGATGATAATAGTGTTTTCCTATATAGGTTAGTTAGTAGACAATAAGTTAGGAGCCAACAGAATGAGCCTTGCAGATGCCTGCTGCCAGGTCATGCTTGATAAATTACACAACTGCGGATACTATTGTGACTACTTCCATTATTACTAATCCTCATAGCATCAACCCAGAAGGAGGATGATCTGATTTTAGACAAGGAAACACACTAGAGTGAGGAAGTGTTGGCCTGAGGTCACACAGCTGTAAACAACAGCTGGGTTAAAACCAAAGTGGCCTGGAGCTTGAATCCAACCTCACATCCCCATTATGGAATAAAGTGGCGGGTCCCAGGGCATGGAATTGTGCAGGGTTTCCTTTTAGCAGTGCCTGTTCACTGAGAGTTTAATAATCACAAACCACACAGTCAATATTTTTGGAGCACTAGCTGTGTGTTCCATTTACCTTCTTTCTGGAAGGAGGACCTCTCCATATGCCCATGCTGCAGACATGAAACAGAAGTATAAGGTCCCCCGCCTCCCTGGCTATCTTTGCAATGACAGCTCCACTGCCTGGAAACTGACCTTCCTCCCTTTCCCCATTTTCCCAGGGGAGCAAACAGACCCAATGATTTTGGTCAAGGTGGCAGTCAGGTGCCACATGTCTCCACCTTAGCTGCTTCCTTCCTTCCATGTGGCAATTCGAGAGCTCCATTCCTGTGTTCCTCAATGACCTGTCATCTCCACAGAGTGGGCACCCATGGGACTGTTTGGTTCAGCTGTCCCACTAACCCCGTCCTGTCACCCCTCCCATTCCAGGGCTTGCCACCCAGAAGGTGCTCCATTGTTGATTGTTGATTGGATGAAATGGATGATCCTAAAGGAAGGAGCAATAGTACCCAGGGAAAGTGTGCCGTGTGCCCAGGTCACACAACTGGGAGGGTCACCCCAAAGCAAGAACCTCTCAGTCTGCAGAGGCCCCCACCAGGGAAGGGTCCTTGACTTTGTCTCAGCAAACACTGAAGCCCACATCATTCATCCCCCACAGCTAACAAGGGAAGCTGGTGTGAGCAGCAGTTGTGCGCCTGTGACAAGGAGGTGGCCTTGTGTCTGAAGCGCAACCTGGACTCCTACCGGAAGCGCCTGCGTTTCACCCTACACCACTGTGGGAACCAGACTCCTTTGTGCTAGGAGAAGCCGCCCTGCTCTGTGCACCCCCAGCTCTTTTCCTTTGCATTGTGAGCTCCAAAAGCCCCACAGGGAGCTAACACCCCACCCTGGTGTGTGACCCCAGCAACTTCTGCCGCACTGCTCTGCTTGCTGTCTCCGGCTCCTTGATCCAAGGACTGCTTCTCTGTGAAGTGTCCCAGCTATTCCTCCTTTACTGCTCCCAGCCCGCACAGTAGACAGGGGACAGTGGCTTACCAAGTTTTATATTGGGTACCACGTGATCATACATAATCAGGGTTTCTCTGGTCCCTCTCACTATTAGCCCCAAGACCGGAACTCCTAGCAGAGCTCCCTCTCAGAAGGAGGCTGTGCCTATTTCATTGTTGTTTCTTCTGTTCCCCCAACACTATCCTATACACAGCACATAATAAGTGATCAGTTAAGGCTTGTGGATCAAATGGGCTCATAATGAATAGATGGAGGCAATAGTAAATACTGCTCGGTCTCCTATCCAATTCCCCAATCCTGAGTTCAATCAGGTATTGGCTGCTAATTGTTCTGTCCACCTCCAATCCAGGCCTGCTGGAAGCTACCTTGCCCGTCTTCTGCACCTCACCCCACCCCACCCACCTCTAATGACTAGGAAGTATCATATCGTGTAGGGTATAATTGCTTGGCCCCTCTGTCTTTGTGCAGGACGAGCTGGGTGGTACGTTGTGCACCCCAGAACTCATTTTATAGGATCAAGTTAAATGTCTTGAACCTCCTCCCTCCTCTTTGCTTTGCTTTGTCCCTGGACTTTCCTGTTTTCCTTGTTCCCTTACAGGTTTCTCCTGAGAGCACTCCCTCAATAAATCATTCACTTGCGTAAGAATTCTTGTTTCAGGCTTGATTTCTAGGGAAACAGACTTTGAAAGGATGAATAGATGGTGGATGTTTGGGTGGGATCAATGGATTGATGAGTAGATAAATAAATGGATCGATAGATGAATGGATGGATGAGTAAATGAATAGTAAGTGGATAGAGGGGTAGATGAATGGATAGATGGAGAATGAATAGATGGATGAATGGGTGGATGGATGGGTGGATGGATGGATGGGTGGATGGATGGATGGATGGATGGGTAGGTGAATTGTTGGATGAATGGATTGTTAGATGGATGGATGGGTAATGGGTAGAATAAATAGATGGAAGGGGGCTGGATAAAAGAGTGGCTGGTCGGGGCTGGAGTGATAGCACAGCGGGTAGGGCGTTTGCCTTGCACGCGGCCGACCCAAGTTCGATTCCCAGCATCCCATATGGTCCCCCGAACACTGCCAAGATTAATTCCTGAGTGCAGAGCCAGGAGTAAGCCCTGTGCATAGCTGGGTGTGACCCAAAAAAGCAAAAAAAAAAAAAAAAAAAGGAGTGACTGGATAAATAACTTTTTCTAAGGATCAACAATCTGTCATTCATATGTGATTAGCCACGCTTCCTGCCAAATGAGCTGGGCACCTGCAGTAACAAACCATCTTGCAGTCTGTGGCACCCATCTGTGAAACAGCTCCCAAAGAGCTTCCCTTCTTTGTGAAGTTTGGTGGCTCATGCAGAACAGCCTAATAAGAACTCAGGACTAGGAGCACTGGGTTCAGATTCCAACTACACTGATGAGATTTGATTTCTTATGAGGAATGTTTCCTCACCTGTGAAATATAAATAAAAATAAGATAAGGTCAGTGCATTAATGAAGATTATTGTGTGTTAAGCTCTTGGCCCAGTGCCTGGTTCATGTTAATCCCTCTTTAAATATTAATTGCATTATCATTGTTGCTGTTGTTACATGGTAAATAAATCTGGAGTCACTCCTGAGATAAACCTGGAAAATAGTCCTGGTTTTTCTTCTTTTTACTGCGTCTCTTTCTTTTCACTCAATCCGCCTTGCCCCTCTACAGAACTAAGAGTGCCAATAAAGCCTGGTGCATGATGTCTTTTTATTCAGGACATGCAATCCAGCCTGATATCCCATATGTGATGTCAGAGCTCCCATGTGACTTTGTGACAATGTAAGTATTGGCAGGTATGAGAATTTTTATCCCCATGGGAGAGTTGAGCAACCCAAAGCTCAGAATGGGGACAGAGCCTGCCGAGCGAATCGCCAACAAAAGACAGTGCCAGATCCTCCTTCAGACGCACCCCACTCTGTTCCCCCATCCCATTCTTCCTGGTCAAGAAGCATACAGCTGAAAACTGTGATCAAGAAGCTCCAACAATGAGGGCATTTGTGCCCTCACATGACAAGAAATCTTGGAGGAAGATGGTCCTTTAGTGGCTTAATGATGACATCAGCACCAGGTTTCTTTCCTGTTCTTGGCTGGTCACACTTACTGTGTTGACTCTGTCCTCTGGGCAGCCACTCCAAGCTCCAGGACACAATATCATCTCTCAGTTGTGCCTTGCCACAGCTGTCTCTTCCTGGGTCTGCTTTAAATAAGCACCCCAACCCACTCAGCACACTGCCCTCTCAGGAATGGCAGCCTAGATTGTGGGGGCTGCAAGATATTGGAATTCCCCTGGTCAGTTTATATTCTTAGAACAGGCAAGCTTAGAGTGGGGTCATGAGCAGTGTTGTCCCTTGTGTCACAGTTCTGAGCTAAGGATCTAGTTCAGATACGTGATCACATAGCAGTTAGTCAGAGGTGTTTTAGGAAGGAAGGAAGGAAGGAAGGAAGGAAGGAAGGAAGGAAGGAAGGAAGGAAGGAAGGAAGGAAGGAAGGAAAAAATAAAGGGAGAGGAAAGAGAGAGGGAGGGAGGAAGGGAGGGACGGAGGAAGGGAGGAGGGAGGGAGTAATTTCATGTTGATAAAGACAGAATTTTGTGTTGCCTCTATAGCCACCTGGTTCTGTCAACAGACAGGCCACAGATATTAAAAACCTGAAGAGTCCCACAAGCCTCCAGGTACTCAACAATTACTTGGTGGACAAAAACTACATGGAGGGGAGTGTACCTTCACAAGCAAATATGGTGGTATTTAAAACAATATCCAGCTGACCCACTGCTGACTTGTATCATGCTCTCCATTGGGATAACCATATTAAGTACTTCAGAAAGGAAAAGATCAGTGTGACTGGAGTGAACACTATGGTAAAGCTAATGTGGAAGACACCACAGGAAGTGGAGCTGGGGATGGTAAAAATGACATTGATTTCTTTGGATCTGCTGAGGAGAAGAGTGAAGAAGAAAAAAGCAAAGATAAGAATGGCTTGCATGATATGAATCAAGAGAGTCAAAATTAGATGTGGAACATTGCGATGATGATAAGGATATGGCAAAATTAGAGAGTGCGTCAGAAGCATCAAGCAGATGGCTTAGTTTGGGGTCCAACAAAATTAATACCAGTGGGAAATGGATTACAAGGCTTCAAATGCAGTGCGTGGTTGAAGACAATAAACTGGAACAGATACATTGGAGGAGCAGATCACGGTTTTGGAGGACTATGTGCAGTCCATGAACGTGGTGCTTCCCATAAGATTTAAATCCATTGTGGATCATTGCTCTCCAATAAAGGCTTGAAACACACACACACACACACACACAGACACACACACACACTTGACTTGGAATTTTGTGTTTTTTGTTTTATTTTAGAACACACCAGATGATGCTCAGGGCATATTCTTGTCTCTATACTCAGGGATCATTCCTGTTGGGCTTGGTGGACCATATAGAGTGGAGGGGATCAAACCTTGGTCCGCCATGTGCAAGGTGAGTGCTCTACCCACCTGTACTATCTCTCCTGCCCAAGATGGGAATTTTGAATTCCAAGATGATAATGGGCAGATGAGGCCTCAGATCATATAGGATTTGGAGCCCCCCCCCAAAGTTAGGGGGACCAACCAGCCCTGTGAGTTCTCACTCTGGGTCAATTTACTATAATTAATATTGGATCTGAGGCAGGCAGGAAGGAGAGGGGTTCTGAGGGAGCCTCTCTTTTCCCACCACTTCTTTCAACCAGCCCTGACTAGGGTGAACAAAGAAGGACACAGTCACTGCATCCCGTGGGACCAGGTACTGCAATAGAACACCCGTGGGGGCCAGGGCACAGTAGACCTTGAATATAACCTTGAACTTTGATTTTTCCTCTGTGGTGCCAACTTGCTGCCAAGGTTCTGCAAAAGTACACTTTTGGGGCCAGGGCAGAACAGACCTTGAACCTCAATTGTCTGTCGATGATGCCCACTTACTGCCTCTCTCCATTCCTCTGAGATAGTGGCATTTCCACCTGCACTTTCCAACTACAGAAACTGAAACTGGAAGATGAGTCACTTGCTGATAAGTGGCCAGCCTGGGATTTGAACCTGTGTCTCTCTGCTCCAGGGCCATGTCTCACTCTACCTCCCACACTTTTCACTAGGATATTGGTGACTCAGTCTCAGTACCCTTTCAGGGAGAAGAGGCACTCCCCGGGACCAGGGGAAGGGAACGGGGATGTGGCAAGGCAGAAACTTGGAGGAAAGGTCAATGAGCCCCAATCATGCCAACCATCATCACAACACTCAAATAGCCACCCCTAAACTCCTTCCCATGCACTGATGGATCCAGTTATTGGGTTCCAGGATCCAGGGTTCCACCTTGGACGTAGGCACCCAGCTGATAGCAGATACTTCAAGGTACTGATAATAGATGCTTCATTTCTGTTTTTTCCACCTGGATCCCTCTCCCTAAGTCCTGTGCTCCTTCCACATAGCCTCTCCGCAAGGTCACTATAACATGGCATCCTTACCCATGCGTAAAGTCAGCCTGAAGACCTACCTGAACCCAGGAAGCCCAGACCATGCAGCCAGGTCCTAGGTCTCACTGGCTTAGGAGCAACTATATTTTATTTTTTCAGTTAAAGAAGATATTTTAAACATTTGTGGAAAAGGGAAAAGACCGGAAAGGGAAAGTCAAGGAACTTTCACTTTCTTTCTCTCTACTACTGATGTCTGGGGGCTAGAGCGATAGCACAGCAGGTAGGGTGTTTGCCTTGCATGCAGCCAACATGGCCAGCCCGAGTTCAATTCCTCTGCCCTTCTCGGAGAGCCCAGCAAGCTACTGAGAGTATCTCACCTGCACG